GGACAACAGCACTCAGTGGAAGTTAAGAAACAACTGCTGGTGTGTGCTTATAAAATATGCATTAATGCTCAATGTTCTATGCAAAGTAAAGATTGTCTTTCTGGACTTATTTTCCATCCTTATTTTCCAGGTTTCGTGCAAAACCTCTCCTCTCAGGCCTAATGCCAGGCTCCCATTCTGGGGTGCCTTTTATTCTTTGCTGACTCCCAGGCAGAACCCAGTTTTCCCCATGTATTGCAGAACATACTGTTTGGAGAACTTAACTCTTCAGGACTTAAATATTTGTTTCACCAGCCCTTGTTCACCCTGATGTAGAGAAGTTTAACTCACCCTTTACTCTGCTGTTCACTGTTACCATCCATGAGCTGTCACAATCAACCCCCATGTTCTTATGGCCAACACTATTACCTCAGCAACAGATTGGTGTTGATATTATTGCAAATTATATTTATAATCATAATTATTCCTCTTTCTGTCTAATAGAGATAGTAAAGGACTCGAAGGTAGATTTAGTACATATGTTTCAGCTTGAGCTGGGTAGATTTGTGAAAAGCCAGAACTAATTAAATAGGATATAAAGCTGTGCTAACACAAATATCAAGTTTTTGAGAAGTAAACTAAATATAAAAGTGACCTGATCCGGGCTGAAGGGGGAGATACAGAAGGTTTTGCTTCCATGCAGATTTATACAAAAGATAACACAGCAGTCAAAATAGTAGCAGCAGAGAAGAGAGGTAGATGTTTAAATGGGATTTGAGTGTCCCTGGTGGCTTCAGAGGAAAGTGAAGCACTTCTCTTGTGTTTCAAAATATAAATAAACTTGCTGAGTGTATCACTCCTCCAACTGCTCATTCTAAAGGCTGCAAGAGGCACGTGGGTGCTGTGCATCACATCTGCTGGCTCGAGCAACAGTGGGGCTGACGCGTCCGTCTGTCCCTCTATCTGCCAAACAGGGTTTCTCACAGGCTCTGTAGTGCATTTTGGAGGGCTGGGGCCTGTGGAAATTTATAAGTGCTTGAGGATAATAGTGCAACTAGTGCCATGAGGTGTGCACAGCTCTGTGCTGTGATTCCCAGGGAAGCCTTCAGTGGATTTACTAAAAATTCCCTTTACTTTTGCAATATTCTCTCACTAGAGATGCTTGGTAAGTGACATGGAGATCAAGATAAGAAAAAAAAACATGAGAAATTCCCAGTATTTACCTCACAAATTTTGTGATAGGAATGCAAGATAGTATTGAGCTATTGCCCTCTAAGGAAAAGGGTTAAAATTAAAAGCAGGAAATTTATGAAGTGAACATTGGAAAATATTTAGAAGAAAGAAGGCAGATGTGCAAAGAGGCTGTTTGGGATGACACAGCACTCTGCTCCGTGAATTAACACTCAGGTCTTTCTGACTATCCCACACTGCCAGTCCAGCACCCTTCCTCCTTTCCCCGGTGAAGAGTTTCCAAGACCTCACACCAAGGCCACAGCTCTGCCATGTATCTGTGGGCAGTAACATGCATCACTAGATTGGTTTGTGCTCTTGTCACATTCCTGAAGAAAATTATGGCTTTGGTACACTCAGTTATAGATTTAGTATAGACCTGCTTGTATCATCCGCTCAGGCTGCTCTGAGAGACAGGACACAACTCAGGGCTGATGCCAGATAATGATTGATCTCCGTCTCTACAGAGCTTTCACAGGCACTAGGGACAGAGGGACACTCATTAAACTCTAGAGGATGCCCAGGTTTTCACCTGTTCAGATGCATCTATCTTGTGGAGGGGTTGAAAGTTATTTAAATTAGTCATTCAGAAAGATCTTTCATCAAGAGGCAAAATAGACCTAAATTTACTTTAAAAGTCAGCTTGTTATGTTTCAATTACTAGGAGCTGCAAATTGTTTGCCTACAGCCCCTGAGCAGTTGCACATCTTTTTAACATGCTGTTTAATTATCATTTGTATAGGAGCTCCTGGCCAGCTCCATGCAGATACAAAAATGGTATTAATTGTGTAGGTAGTGCATAGGCAGAGTATGATATAATTAGCAATATGAACATGCTATGTTCATAAACATCCAGAAGACTCAGGTGCTGAACAAATTAGTAAAAGGTAAAAAAGCCAACCTGATAAATGGTATGGTAATGATGTTTTGATATTATCTCATGGCCAAGTGACCGCTTTAAGAGAACCTGAAGATCTCCTGAGTTCCTAATTGACAGTGACAGATTGGTACTAATTAGATAATCATGATACCAGCGGAAAATGAATTGATGGGGACACACAAAACCGGTGACATGCAAAAGGACACCAGGAAGGGCTTCCTTAAGTAGGAGGATGCTTCAGTGAGTTGAAAAAATACCTCTTATTGTTCTCATTTCTGCTCGCTGGCTTTTGGTTTTGTGGCTTTTTAAAGTATATGGTAATTCTTTTATCCTTTTTATGTTTTATTTAATCTCACGGTATCAGTGTTCCAGCTGGTTTAAACAGAGAACATTCCTGTGACCTCTGTCAGAGAGAAAGTGTTTTAAATTTTCCAAACTTTTCCTATTATAAAATCTCCTTTTAAATACCTGACATATGCAGATAACCTGTACTCAGATTAGTCTGGTATCAGGGCTTTTTGTTGCTACTGCTTTTATGCAATAAGCTGTGCACAAGCAAAATTTTACTTAGTCATGAAGATCCTCTTAATGTTTCCAGCATAGCAGAATACTGCAAAGAAATAAAACTTTAAAATTACTCATTTCACTAGACTGTGCCTTCACTTGAGGCCAGCTGCTAGAATATAACCTTCCTGGGCCTGTGCCATTGCCAAGAGGTAACTGGTGTATGAATGTACCAAATAAAAGCTGTTGCAAAGGTGTTCTCATGGTCTAGAAGTCCTGTCTAATTTTCTCTGGATGCAGCACAATTTCATATTTCTTTAATTATGTTTCAGTCACATGTATAAAACCAGTCCTTCAGAGCTGAAATGACTGCTGCTTTTGATTCATCACGTAGGGGCACAATTTAATTCTCCAAGAAGGTTAATAGCTTCATGCATTCATTGTTTAAGTAATTCCTTAAATCCTCAATGCTTACATGAGCAACTTTACTGGCTTACACTTTCTTTTATTGAAATATATTACAGGAAATACCTCAGAGCCTACTTCATTAAGTTTCCTTGTAAAATGCTGTATGTCTCAGAAAGAAAGAATACTAATCTGTAATACTTGTTTTTAAAGGGAGACCTCAACTCTTTACTCAAAAAATTGCAATAAGTATATCTCAACCTCATTAAATACAGCAATAGGTGCTCCTGTTCTGATGCTGCTGAAGCCGCTGAAAAAAGATTGTCCTTCCTCAAGGATCAGTGTAAGACCAGGACTAGAATCAAGTTAATTAAGAAAATGTTGATTCACCGGTATTTTCCCCTCAGGTTATGATAGTGTTACTCATTGCCTGGGTAAAACAAAAATCCCCATAATTTCCAAGAATTAGCTTTCTTTATTATTATTATTTTGAGTATACAGAGATGGAACTGCAGCATGATAGAGCTGAGATTCGAATGGGACTCCCTGGAGTTGCGTAGCTGCTTGTGAAAAGCTGTGTCATTTGAGATGGTCCTGTGGGTTCCTAATGAATACAGTTGCTTTCCTTGGTGGTGCTTGGGTTTGATTCTCTTGCTACAGCTGGTTTAGTAAAATTCATTCACTGATGATGCTGGGCAATCTACCTCAGTGAAAATGTATTGATTTCCTGTAAAGTCCGTTTTTGGAAATGTTCTTACACTGTGTTTTTACATATGTTTGCTCATAATTTAATTGCTGTACCTTTAAGCTACCACTCGTGCTGACATAGCTTAAAGAGCCATACAAAGCTGCAGAAAGGTTCTTTTGCAGACAATTGGCATAAAGAAGGAATTAAGGCTTTTTAAAAGCTAAATTCTTTAAGATTTGTGTCAGCTTGTTGCCTACACACTGTTGACACTTTATCTAAACTAAGTGTTGACTTCATGTTTAAGGGTTTATGCCACTAAATTATTAGGCTCAGTAGGTCAAATGGTGCATATTCTGGAGTTTTAAAGACATTTTCACTGCTGAAAAAAACACACAAGAAAGAGAAGCTTAATGTCTGTTTTAAAACTGTTAAACCTGTAGAAATTCCTGAAGCATAAAGTGGAAAGCATTGCTGCTTGCTGTGCTTGGTCTGCACCAAGGGAAACTGTGTGATGGAACATTTCCAATGAGGAAGGGAAGGAAAACAGTCTGAGCAGAGGAGAACACAGCAGTGATGGTTATTGCATGAAAGATGATTAAAGCAATTACTAATGCACTCTGTGCCTAATGGATATCTGACTGTGACTGTCTCCCATTGATTCTCCCAGACAGTGGCAGTCAGAAACACTGCCAAGCACCTCCTTTTTTGTGCAATTTATTTCAATCTCATTATTTACTTCACTTTGTAAAATATGCTTCATATTTTACTGCTTAGAGAAAATGAAGAAGGCAATAAAAAGCTGGAGGTGAACAGCAGTGGTTTCCTCTGCTGAAGAAGGAACTGTTGGAACTGGATATTGGACAAACCTCCTTAGCAATAAGGGCAGGTAGATCAATTTTTAAAAGGCTGGCAGTGAACACTCCATATCTCTAAATCTTGGAAGCTGGGTCTGGATGCCTTAGCTGAATATATACTCTTCTGTAGCCTAAAACTTCTTAGATGTGATGTAAGAATCACTGCGTGACATTTTCTGATCTCTGTTATATGGAAGACCAAATCTGTTGATCACACTGATCCCTTTGGGTCTTAAAATCTTCCAGCCTATTGCAAGGAAGGTCCTGAGAGCTTCACACAGCTCTGCTGGTTTACCTTCAGTTCCTGGAAGAAGTTGAGAATGATGTTTAGTTGCTTCCCAAATTTATGGGTTTCATTTAATTCATATTTTTTCATTAAAATTTCTAGGTCTGTAGTTTTTGTTTTAATTATTTGCTGTAAGACTTTATTTCAGTTCTGTATCCTCTCACCTTACAGGATATTCATGCTCAACTCATTCCCAGGGATTAGGATTAAAACCACGCGAAGTTACTTTGTTTATTTGTATTTTTAATCCTCTTTGGGTACTACCATTAATACTCAGGTTTGTTTGTTTTCTTTGTGGGGTTTTTATTTGTTTATTTGTTTTCTAGTGCCTTTAATACATCCCACTTGAGCTATTGTTGAACCCCTTCACAGTTCATCAGTGTGCACAGCTCCCTGCTGAATTGGGATGAGCTGGCTGAGTCAGCTGACAGAAGGAAGAGAGGAATCGAGTTTGACAGCAGCACAGACTTACTTTGGCTTAAGGTGAGAATGACCTAACATTTGTCATCTGTTGTTTATTCTCTTGGCCTCTGCTGCATGAGGAGATCTAGTTGTGGACGGCTCCATTGGAACTTTTATTGTTAGTGCCGCTGTGTATTTATGGATTTGTTTGGCACTTTGTGGGGAAGGTGGAGAGGTTTATTTATACAGTGATCCTTGGAGATGTTGTGTCTTCAGCGAGGAGAAGGTTTGCACAGGAGGAAGTGCCCAGAGAGTGCTCACTCTCTGGGCTCAGCAAGGACTCTACTCATGGTCATGGGGCCAAATTCAGGTCTCAGGACAAACATCACTTTGCTGGTTTGCCAGTCATATAACATGTACCAGGTCATTACAGGCCAGTGAACCACATATACAAGCACCTTGGTGGAACCTTTTTTTACAGGTATCTTGTGATAAACTGGTCAGTCTGCAATACCAAACTGACAAGGGGTTGGTTCAGACCATAAGGTAAGAGAGAAACTTCTCTTGAAGAAGCAGCAGGAATTTTTTTGGTTGAAAGTACAAAACAAGATAAATACCACATTACCTTTGGGGTCAACTGCCTCTGTGGACCCCTGTCAGGAGTGTTTCTAACATTTATGCATCCTGCACAATTTAGGATCAGAGATATTTTTTTTTGCTTTTTTTTGTCCTTAATCTTACTGTTCAAAATAAACTGTAGCAAAATGGGGCAGCACTTTGATTGCTGTAATCATACCTACCACACTTAAACGTTCTGAAGTGTTCTTCATCTCCAAATTTTCAGCTATCAGTAGCGTTTAGGACCCACTTTTCTTCCTCTTGAAATCACAGTGTCTGAAACAGAGCACCATGAGAGGTTGTCAGCAGCCTTTTCAACTCTGAACTCCTTTTCAGCACCTCAGTGATATTTTTTGTCTCTTCCTTTGGGGGAGAAGAGGACAGGAAGCTCTTTTGGATCATGATGGCTCCTTGTTCTTTCCTGATTATGCTAAAATTTCAAGGATAACATTAAGAAAAATGACCTAGAAAATTATTGTGCTGATTCCTTTTCTAGTTTAATGGGCACTAACTACTAATTGCCTTTGTAAAACCTAACCTAAACTATTTTTTTTCTCTCCTCCTTTATTTTATCAACAAATTTAATTAAACTAACCACAAAAGAACCCAGAAATATGAATACCAAAGATATTGGGTTTGTTGACAGATATGAATGTGTTAATTAGCCTTCAATTCAGCCACATTAAGAAAATGAAGTCTTCAGTACACTCTGTTGTTTTTTGTTAAAACTAAGGAATTAGAAAAATAAAAAGTGTCAAAGAATAGATAATAAAGCTTTCAGCGTATTGAGACAATATTGGTAAATCTTAGTGATATGCTGTTTATAAAAAAAGGAAATATAATGCTAAAATTCTAATGAGAATCTGCTCTGTTGACTCTCCTTCTAGCTGTGGGAACAAAGCAATTTATACTCTTTTCTGGAGCTATTAAAATTGTTTCTTTTCTGTTGTATGCTTTTGCACTTATGGTTTTTTTCAAGTTCTGCTCCTGTGGGTCTCCTTTCTCCTTGTTTCTTATTGGAGTGATGAGGATCATTTGAGTCAAACCCATTAACTTTCGCATGGTTTTCAATCAAGACCTTTGCAAAATGCCCAATTTCACAATGGCTTTAATGGAAAATATAGATTGCTTCATATTTGATTTAGACCTCACCCCTCTGCTTGTTTTCTGGTTTTTCCTCTCAGGCTATGCAGCTTTGCATGATTTTTCTCAATCTTTTCCTGGTATAAGCATGTATGTTGGACAATTGCTCTGCTTCTAATTATTTTTGCACTGCACTGAAAGTCATTAATGTTATTTGTAGTGATGCACTTGCAGTTGGTATCCTGGAAATTAAAACATTCAGTGGGAAATCCCAGCTCTGCTGGAGGTAAGGAAAAATCCCCACTGAGTGAACATTTTTTCCTATCTGTCTAGGCATCCAGGTCGAAAAATAATTAGACCCTGGTTTGTCTCCAACTCATCTTTAATAGAGATATTACCAATCTTTAATAGAAATAGTAACTGTAGTTGTTATAGCTGATACATTACAAACTGTTAGTTTACTCTTTCCAGGGAAATTCTCTGACACAGGATTCTCTCCTGAGCCAGTCCAATTGAAGTGGAAGTGACAGCCCTGCCTAGTGATCTTATTTAAGGAATTGGAATGTCCTTTCTCACTGGTGTCAGAGCCAATTTCTGCCGAGGCAGTAAGAGCACCTACAGCCAGGAGAGTTTGATAGGCCCTGGCTTTCCTTAAAAGCATTTCTCAGGTTGTTACTGTCTTTTACTATTGAGTGCATTCTGAAAATATACTTTTCTGGAGTATCCAGACACTGCAATATTTACCTAACTATTAAACTGAGAGTATACAATATATGAGCAAGTGACAGTGTGTTTTTGATGGATAAAGTGGGCTTTTAGTGCAGAAGAGGTGATTTCTCTTAAAGGTATTGTAACTGCCTGAAAGGAAGAATAAACAGACAGGGAAGTGGCTCTATAGGTATGATTTTTCTTCTGAAGTGATTTTGTTGTTCTTTTGGGCTGCAGGTGGAAGAAAGTGTTCGCTCTTTCCAAGTGACCTAAAAGCATCTGGAAAAGTGAAGGTAATGGACTCCAGACAGAGTTTTTTTCAAAGGCTTATACTGAATATGACAAATATTTGTGATTGCATCACTCAGGCCTTATGAATAAATGGAAACTTTTTAATTTATGTGGTAGTTTTGCTCTCAGAGCTCTATTTCCAAGGAGCCCTAACACAGTAATGGGCAGGGCTGGTAATGGGAGTGATTCCTCTCACCCATTGTGAGTTTTTGGAATGCAGTATTTGTGTGTAATTTAAAAAAGTATGGTTTTCACTCACTAAAGACGTGTCTTCCAGCTTCAACAGGTCTAATACACAACTACACTTCTCAGCCTGCCTACAACCAAACAAACAGAGTTTGCTCATTGCGTAGATTCAAAACAAGGGGAACAGCAATTATCGTCTAAATATAAAAGAATTAAAGAATTTAAAAAACAAAATAATAAAAAAGGAGAGAGGAAAAAAATCTAATATGGCCATGGGGTCCTTCTTAGTTTACAGAAGGCTTCTTCCATAGACTCTTTTTGTGATGCTTTTCCTTCATTTTGACCTTCTAGATTTTGGCCCGAGAGCATCCTCAGTGCACAATTGATAAAGTCATGCTCAGAGGAATGGTAGCCAGAGACAGCCTCAGTAGGAAAGCCCTTTTTCACTCACTTTCCAGTTTGTACTGGATGTCTTAAGAACATGATAGGGATTTCTTTTTTTTTTTTTTCCCCAGTCATGCCACATTTCAAAAAGGCCAGCTTGGTTTCTTGGGTTTTCATAAATGTGGGTTGTCGGGTTTGTTGTCTTTTTTCATTTCCCTGGTGAAAATCTGATGTCACAAATGCATTCAGAGCGTACACAAACCCTGAGAGAAAAGAGCAGATTTGTTTATTGAAAATCAGCACCGTGTTACTTTTTGTGGCAGGGAAAGTGTAAAGGCAGAAAATTATTCAAACCCCATGTGTCCTGACTGCAAAGTGAATTTGTAGGAATCCAGAGCATAATAAGCCAATCGACTCGCTAGACAGTATTTTTAATCTTTTGCTGGTTTATTTCATTATTTTCATTTAATCCCATTTCCAAGTCTCTCCAGCCTCTCGAAGTGAGCATATGGGCAGTATACAGATATCACAACTATGTCTTAATATCCAGCTGCTATTTGTGTGCAAATGGGGACCGGCTGCATGGCTGGCTGGAGTACCCTGAGCAAACCTGCTGCTTCCAGAGAAATACTGCAGAATAATTTTAGTCAATTGCCTTTTAATTGGGATAGTTGCTGATCCCTAACATAGGTTGTTGAGAAGTCACGATAGCAGAGAGAAAGCAGATTGAATTAATGGAAGTATGGAAACTGTTTAGAGGGGAGGAAAGGGAGCTGACACTTTCTTCTCTGCCTTTACAGATAGAGGATTGGGGTCACAAAAACTCCGTGTGGGTTTAGCATCCTTGAAAACGCCAGGAATGGAGTAATTGGATGGCTGGTACAGGCTGTGGATGCAGCTCTTTCATCACTGCCCCCAGTGAATGGAATTCTTTCCCTTCTACATTTAAATCTAATACAGACCTTCAGATTTCGCTGTGGATGGTTTCACCTCTGAGCTGAGCAGCAGCCCGAGAGGTAAGGTTTGGATAATTGGAGCAAATCATTCAAAACCCTTTTCTGAGCAGTGCATTATGCATGCACCAGTTTTAAAAATGGACAATTATAAAGATACATCTTTTAAAAAGTGCTTTTGTAGTGAGTAAAACAAAGTGATTTCTTCATGCTCCTGTGCAAAATGGGTGGCTACAAAGCATGTGCATAGATTTCTGGAGATAGAATACAAAGGGGATGATAATAATAACCTTTTTCTGTTGCCAGAGAGTCTGCACAAAGATTCCATCAGCATTTTGCACAGCATGATAAAAAATGTGTTAAATCCTCATCATCAATGGAGGTTCAAAGTGAAACAGAATCAAGCAGAATAAGGTGCCCATAAAGAAAAGAAATAGCTAAATGATATTAAGGAAGCCGAGATAACTGAAAAAATTAACAGCACAATAGCTTATAGAATCTGCTTCTGCTAACAAAAGGCAATCTTTAGTGCCCAGTATCTCCATTCAGTCTGAAAAAGAAAGGTAGTTACATTCTGGAATGAACAAAACAGGAAAGGCAAGAAGCAGTCAGGGACTTATTCTCGACTCCAAACTGCCTTGGGCATCATTCCACATTGAGGTGTTGGCAGAGAGAGGAAGTCTCTCTTTTTATTGAGAGGTGAGAGTTCAAGTGTATTAACTTCAAAATTTAAATTATCAATGTAAAATCATACTTTTCCTGTTTTGTTCATCTGTTGCTTCTCCATGGGAATCATATTTCGGAGACTTTTTCCCATGGAAGATTCCTGCTTTGTATTTGTGGTTGAAACCAGATGAGACAAAAGTGTTTTGGGGGTTGCTTTTTGTTATTTTGCTGTTTACAGCTACATATTTGTCTTCAAAAGCAAAGGTCAGAGGGTTGTATTAATTAGAAATACTTCAAAAACTTGTATCTCAGAGCTCTTCAAGAACCAGAATAATAAAGAACAGAATCGGAGAAAAGAAGGTTAAGGGAAGATGAGAAAAAATTTAATATACCTTTTTTAGACTTATATCTTACTCTCTTATGTACAGAGAAGCTTTAAATCAAGCAAATTAAACCTTAACATGGTTCACCTTTGAGCACAGGGCATAAGGGAGAGACACCTCCTGAGGTCACTGCACTGCTGCAGCAGCCCAGTAAGAGCCAAAGTAATTTTGTTTAAATTCAAAACAGGTTCTGGCAACACATGCCCATCTGCCACCCCTCTGGCTGAGAGTCAGGTCTGCAAAAGTAGTATAAAGATGTAACTCCTTGCTTCTTGTCTGATTTTTTTATTTTTTTTGCCCCTTCAGGTGCCTCTAAGAGCTTTTCATCTGCCTGTATTAAGTTCTCCAACAACACTAGAAAATAGGTCATGAATGCAGGGGGACAGAGAGGCAGGTTAAAAGAAAGAGGGGAAAAAGGCAGCAGTTTGTTGTTGGAGAATAGATGGAGATGGATGGAGGCTCTTGTGGAAGGGCCTGGGGAGGGAGGAGGATGTTACTGAGCTCAGGGTTGAAAGTCACTAATACTGGTTATTTTATCAATATAGTTAATTAAATATTCTGATGGACCTTCAAATGTTTTTGACAGTTCTGCAGTGTTTGCATCTGCCATGAAAATAATCATGCATTCCTGGGAATTGGTAAATGTGCCAAAAAAAGAGGCAGTCTCCTTCATTTATCCTTGTTTTATGCTTATTGTAACTCATGTTACAACATGATGAATTAATTGTGTCTTACAGTGCTACAGGTTGACTGCATCAAATTGGATGAGTGTAAAATACCTCAGTGCAGTAATTACCATATGCTTCCAAAAAGGCTTTTCTGCATGTGACATGATGTATGTATGGCCATAAGTAAAGAAGAAAAAAGAATACTAACACATGACTTTTTTAAGGAGAAAAACTTACATGGGAAGCAGAATAACAGTTTTGATGGTCAGGGAAAATATGGGACAAAAAATATAGAGTCAGAAGTCAGTGTTTGGGAAGTGAGAGAGGCAGAGAGGATGTAGCAAAGGCCTTGCAGATGTTGACTAATGGATGTTGAAAATTGAACCAGGTGTTATCTCCTAGAAGAAAGAAGCAAGTGTAGGTGTAAATATGCAATTTTTGAACTTGAAGCAACTAGAATTTTGAGTTAAAACTGAATAATATCGCTGTGAAACATTTAGCAGGAATTGGTGTGCATACAAGTTCAGCCTTGCATGGACAGAAAAAGATAGAAAAAGAGGAATAAAGAAGACTGCCTTTTTTAAGCATTTGGGTTGCACTTTGTGGTGTTGGAGAATACAAATAAAGAAGGGATTTCAAGGAATCATTATGATTAAGTGATTGAAAATAGTATGGTAGGATTCTGATTTGCAGCTTAAATGATGTTAAAACTGAAACAAGAAATATGAAACTGTGAAGGCAGGGGAGGTTGTTTTTAGGGTTTTTTTGTTTGGTTTAGAAAGGATACTTTTTTCCCCACAGTTTGGGCTACAGATGGGTCTCATGGGATTTGCTTTCCAACATAAGGGAGATATTCAGGCTTTCAGATTTCATTACCACTTTCTTCATTATTGTGCCTTGAGGAGCTATAAATAACACATGGCTAATTTGTGAATATGGCACATTCCAGGGGATGTGTGTATTTTAATCAGGGCACCTTCTGACATTTGGTAATTGGTTTACAAATTTGTTATATAATTTCATGAGTATTAAGTTGTTAGGAGGAAAAAAATCTAAATTTATGTGGTCTAAAATCTGCCCTCATTGGACCCCCACAGCAGCTGGTGCTCCTGCTAGGTCTAACTGAGGACAGGTTTTGAGTCAACGAGTACTTAAACTGGCACCATTTCTTTATTTCTTATAGTTTTAGTAAAGTAATTAGTAGCTACATTCTTCATTACATCTTTTTTTTAATTAAAGCTTTTTTATATGTGTGTGCATATATCACTAAACTGCTTTTAAGATGCGGGTAAATTTTGTCTGGTGAGAAATCGGGTTTTGTGTTGGAAGGTGCATGTTTGTTATCGGGGTATTTTTTTTAGGCCTGTTTGTAGGAACAAGTGTCGCCAGTGTCCAAATTGTGAGCTTGGATGCTGCCAAAGTCAGTTCTAAGGCTGTGTTGTGTAATATTGTTCTCCTGCAGCCGGGACATCCATATGTCTGAAATAATAGACATATGACATGGATTAATACGGAATATTATCGCCCATTTTTTGTATTATTGCAATCAAAAGTACAGACACAGTGAAAAGTCATCTCATTTAAAATCTTAATTATTGACTATTAGTTTTCTCTTTTGCACAGAACAAGACATACCTGACTGTGTTTCCAAACTTTCCTTACTTCTCTGTCTATACTTATTGCCACACAGCATTTAGTGTGTTAATTAACTGCTAACGAATGAATATTTCAGCTATAGACTACAGTGCTGTGCTTGTTCATTTATATTATTACTCATTCGATAAAGGCAATATGTGCCAAACAGCAGGATCCGGTGGGAACATCTGCTAGTGAGCAGCCACAGGCAGGAGAGCAGCTCACAGGAAGAAATCCACTCCAGTAATTTACTGAATTTTTATTTTACTTACTCATTTTAGGGAAGGCTATGGGTCATTCAACCATTTTGTGACAGGCCGTGGGGTTGGTTACTGCCATTTTGGGTAAGGGCATGGGTGGGGGGGAGGTCTGTCCGCCATTTTGGGTAAGGGTGTGGGGTCAGTCCACCATTTTGTGACAGCCCATGAGCCCACTCCACCATTTTGTGTCAGGCCACAAGTCGGTCACCACCATTTTGAGACAGGTCATGGGGGCAGTCCACCATTTTGTGATAAACCATGGGACAGTCTGCCATTTTGGGGCAGTCAGTGAGGTCAGTCCACCATTTTGTGACAGGCCATGGAGTCACTCCCCCATTTTGTGACAGCCTGTGGGGTCGGCTGCTGCCCTTCCAGTGTGGACCAAAGGCTGACTAAAGCTCAAGGGGATGGAGTGGAGCAGTGGCCATCCCATCTACACAGAGTTTGCCCAGTTCCCCTCTACTTCCCACCTCATTGTTTTGAGCCAGTCAAGCATTCCTCCAATCTCCTACAGTCGTGGTGCAGGAAGCCACTCACAGATGGATAATTTAAACATCTGGACTGGCAGGGAACTCCACTCGTTCTGTCTCCCTGTCTCCCACTCCTTTAGGGCAGAACTGATTTAAAGCATAGCTACAAAACATATTGAGGTGTCTCATAAGAGTTAGAACATCCCAGAAATGCTTCTCTGGCTTCCTTTGGCACTGAACCCATGTTTTTGCTTCCAGAGTAATCTAAAACATTATTTACAAGTGTGTTGTACTACAGCCCCCTTAAGTCTTTGGACTTGAATCCTGGCTTGTTAGCAGCAAATAATGTGGCCTAGAAACTGAAACAAGGTTCACAAGGTCTTGAAAGCTGCATAGGAATATGCAGGCATGAGGGACTTGTACCCTCCATGTCGTGAGCTGTGGGTAACTGATAAGATCAGACAGTTGAGGGGGAAAAGAAGATCAGCCCTGAACTGGAATTCTGAGGACTTCTATGCTTGTCTTACATTTTTCAAGTTCTTCTACACATAACCAATGCAATATTAGCATTTTTAGATGGATGATAAGTAAAAAAAAGTAGTGTAAGAGTCCACTTAGAGCCTTTGTGATTTCTTCTCCCTAATTTTACTCCATTTTTGTTGCAGCAAGGATCCCATCAGCCCAAGCCGCAGCACCAGGTATGAAGGTGAAATTTGTCTGGCCAGCCGAGTGTCCCTGCTGTCCATGCACAGCTGCAGACAGGGCACTTGCTGCCCCATATGCCGAGGAGCACGGCGGCCTGTGGCATGTTTTAACATTAAAAATGCCAAGCACCTGCGACAGGTTTTGGCATCTGTCACTGCAGCATGAATTGAGGCAGCTTGGGCTGTACGAGGCTGGCTCAGACCAGGCAAGGTACCAAAAATTTTGCCTTTCTGTTCCAGAGCTTCACCTCTGCTGGCGTATGGAAAACCCTCTGAGGCTCCAGGTGCTGTGGAGCTTGTATTTGCCTTCTGCAAAATGCTTCTGGAATTTTAGGATGATTTACATCAACATATCCCTCTGCCACTGCGCCAGGAGGAGTGGTGAGGGTGCCTGAAACACTCTGCAGGGATAAGGACACAGGAGAACCACACTCAGAAACCAGGAGGAGAGTCCCCACGAGGAAGGTGAGTGACTGCAATACCATGCCATGTTGCCCAAGAAAAGTCACAATTACTTTCATGGTGCTTGGTGGAGATTCTTTTATGTGGCTGGAGCCTGAGGCTTGAAAACAAATAGGAAAGGGGTATTTCTGCAGAGTCTGATGGATAACAGCTCCTGCGCTCCTGCTGAGCCAAAGTCCTGGCTTCTCCTGTTGAATTCTGGAGCCAACCCCTACTCCCTTGGACTCAAGTGTGGTACAGCCTTGCCAGCAGCCCTGGTGGTGCTCTTTGTCAGGGATCTGGATGGGTTTTTCCTTATTTTTTAATTTTTTTTTTTTTGGTGCATCACAAGACTGCTTAAACAAATTACTTTTGAGGATTATAATTCTTACAAGAATTGCTTCTCTGTAGTGTATCTTAGACAACTCATTTAAGAAACCATAGTAATTTCTTACTTGTAAGAAGCAGTGTGTCCTCTCTTTGTTAGCTGTGGTATTTATCAGCTTGAGTTTCGTACAGACTGCCTTCCTTCAGTCTGGGTTTTTCTTGAGAAAAAGCCAATATTGATAATAGTGTTTTAGAAATAGGTTTTGTCAGTTTGTGGGATCTTTGAGGTTGTCCAGGCAGTCACTGGTGGGTTGTACTGGGCTGGATTCAGCTATGCAATACTGTAACTTCAAATATTGTGGTTTTTTTAGTGTATATGGCCATAAAATAGAGACTTTGCCATAAAGTAGATTAAGGAAGATCTTTGATGCTTTCATTCAAAGCACAGCTCTTCCAGAAGGTGAGCATTAACAAGATGGTGGTGTCACATTTTCATGACAAGGTTCTGACTGAGCAGATCATTAGAGAGAAAAGGATCAAAGCCACTTCCACACGTTACATTTTGGGTGGACATGAGTGTGTCACTGGCAAAAAAGCTCGAGTAGCGAACTTCACAGGAGGGGAAGCTCACTCCTCCTGCCTTTCTCTCCTTTGCAATTTCCTTTCTGTGAGTCACAAACTTCTGGAATTTCAAAGCCCTGATGTTTTAATCCAACTGCAAGGGCTGATATAACTACAATAAGAGACTTAGACATCAGAAAAGTTGTTGGGTCTCCTTCATCACTAGTGGACAAAACCCAAATACCATGTTAAATCATAAAGTGTTTAGTTCTTACTGTCTCTCCAGTAATCTCCTTGGTCTGGAATTGCCTTTTTTTTCGGAAGGGTTACTTATCTAACAAAAGACTGAATAAATTCACTAAGCACAGAACAAAAATTTCTAGCCAGTGCAGTAAACTGGGAAGTTTTACTTTCTAAATTTTAGTAAATTAGATTTCTAATTAATTTAATTCAATTTATTAATTTAACTCAAATGTTTAAATTTTACTAAATTGGAAAGCTACTTTACCATGTAAACCTGTAATCTTTCTCTGCCCTGTATCTACTGGTGGGACATTTGGTGCTTTCTTCCAGGGGTATGGAATATGTAACCTAGAGCCCAGAGGCACAGGGAGCTGTTAGATACTGATCTCAGGGTCTGCTGCAGGCAAGAAAGGCCCTTCCACTGCTTGATAAAGTCTGTTGAATGTGTTGGATTGCCATTAATCATGTTCATCTCTGAGTGGGGACCAGCTCCTCGAAGATCTCCAGGAAAGTAAGCTAGAGCCACACCAAAGTTGTGTTCTTCAACAGGATTGTAAGCCAAAGTGCTTCTCAAACTTTTTACAGATACTCCAGCACATTTGGAGCATTTGACAGAAAAGAATAGGCAAGGGCAACAATGATTGATCCATGTTTTTAAGAAAAAAATTGGAGCCATATTTCCACCGGGGGCTTCAGAGGGACATTGATATATTTATCGTGAAAGAGCTGACGAGCGCCAGCCTTTGCATCACTAAAAATGTAGCCTGCTGCAAGAATTTACAGCTGCAAGGGAAGATTCATGGCCCCTCTCTTTATTTATTGGAAAAATCTCTCGCAGCTGAGTAAAGACATAAATATAAAATTAAATCACAAAAACTACTCTGAAGTAGTGCTAAGGTTACTTCTTGAACCTACAGGGCCAGGACAACATAAAACTAATGTTGAAACACAATTGAGATGAACAGTATTTACTCATTCATTATGACAAACACCACTTTACAGCTAATATGTAAAATCACAGATTATTCGAGAGGTTTTGCTATATTCTTGTATGCAAAGCTTAACAGGAGGACTCAAGGACAGCATGTTAGATAAAGGTACATCCATGAATTTCTGTCCTTATGATTTATAGCTTTCATGTCACTGTAAAATTATTTTTATAGTTCATTTTACCAGTGCATGGTGCAAGAGAACTTTATATGCTTTTGAAAAATAGCTTCATAAACAACAACAGTCTTTGATATAAGTTCTTTGAGTGCATAGATATAGGTGTGAATGCCTGGATTAGGTTAATATTCTTTGTCCTTTTTAGGTCACTGCAGATATTTTAAGTGGCCTCAGCTCCATGGGCTGAGGAGCGTAGGAAACAGAGCAGGTTCCTCCCTTTAGCAGCCAGGAGAAAGGGGGCAAAAGACAACCCACCCCCAAGAAAAATTAGTGTTAATGTGTTATTTTGGGGAAGACAGTCCATAATCTCTACATAGTGAGTTTTCATCTCTAGATCTTCCAGCTCTTTATCTCAATTTTGCAGGTTGCAAAACTGATTAATTACACTAGCAACATCACTATAATTAGTGCTGATTATTCTGGGAGCTTTTTCTTCTTTAATCATCTGTTTAATTTGAGCTAAATCCCTATTTATCCAATAGTGTAGGTTTTAGCATCAGAAGACAGTGGATTTTGCTTAAGTCTTTCCACCTTGAACTCAGGTATTGTTATAAAAGCTTTGGGAATACTTCTGTGGGATTATAATGATTATAACTAGATCAGGATTTGGCATTTTTTAAATACCTGGTCATCTGTCAAATGTTTTGATGGTATAGCTAGCACTTTGTTTAAAAATCTAGGAAAAAGAGATGAAAAATAGCATCCTGGAGACTCTCATAAATTCCCTGCCATATTTACACCATTACTCCATAACAGAATCTATGTTAAGCCATGAGGGACAATAGTTTGTTGGCCAACCCAGAGAAGTTTGAATTGTCTTTAATCAAGAGCTGTCAGGATAAAAGAAAATGCGTGGAAGCAATATGTGGCTGTTTTTCAAAACATAAATGAAACAAAATCTGAAGAAATAAGGACTGTACAGCACTTGTACATGATGTGCTCTTTGTAGTATCAAAGCCTGGTTTATGTTGACATATTGTACCATGACAGGCGAAAAGAAAAAATAAGTAAAACTTACAACTGGGGTGGAATGATGTAAGAGAGGGAAGCAATACTTGCTTCACCTCAAATCTTTCAGTAGGTCTGGAGCTGATAGTTCTTCTCCTTCATTAACACCTCTCTGTTGGGGCTTCTCTCTCCTTTCATGTCCCCCCAAACCACTGCAAAAATAATTACTAATGATGATGAATAGGTTTTTTCTATTTTCAGTTTCCTCTATATGAAAATATTTATCATTCTCTAACTACTTGAAAAGTCAGTGTAATTCTCTGTAATTCAGGAGCTCGGGGTATTTTGCCCATTAGGATCTTTTTTTTTTTTCATCATTTTGGTAGCTGCAGCACCTCTTCTCAAAGTGAAAAGAAACATAAGGGAAAAAAGTCACCTCTTGGTCCTATCCTAAACCCCTGCTTAGGTAAGAGACTTGCTGCACATCTTCTGTAATGGTTTGTCATACTTAATTGGAACAGGAAATACTGGGGCTATGCCAGGCATATTTCTGTTTGGTTAAGTTATTCCCATGAATCTACCACTAAAGATATGCTTAATCTTTCTTCTGTTTAAAAAAGAAATAATTTTTTACATGGTGACTCATTTCCTTGTTTTAGCATTACCATATGCTGTTTATTGGTTATTTAAATTACATTAATGTAAAACGCTGAAGTTTGATTTCAGTGACATTATTGAGTGGGGGGTGGTGCATCAATTGTAATATGTGATGTTTAACTGCACTCACTGCAGATTTAGCATGTGTTAACTTTTATTAGAGGTGAAATACTTGCCTAATGAACAAGTTTATGGTGAGAAGGAAGTGCTCGTTTTCCGGTCACGATCTTGTGCTTTTTTCTTTCTAATTTTCCATGACTCTAGAACTTCGTTCTTTCTTTGGGGTAAGTGCAGACTAAAAACCCAAGCAGCTTCTGCTGTGATTCTTTCCCATTGCAATCCTGATTCTGAAGTTCAAGTTCGGTTTTCAGACTAATGATCTCTCATCAAGTCACTGCAGAGAAAACAGAAAACAGTGAGAGAGGAAAACAAACAGGAGATGGTACATATGTAGCCTTTTTTGTCCTCTCTTGACCTTCCATGTCTAAGATGTTGGTATTTTAAAGATGTTGTATTTTAAAGGACAAGCTGCAGGAGGCACCTAAAATGACATCATATATTCTATTAACCTTTAATGTAATTTTTCTAATATTTCTAACCTTTCCAATTGCAGTAAATCTACCTGGGTTTTGTTGTGTTTTGTTTTGTTTTTTTTTTTATTAAATTGTAAGTACAACCATATTAACCTCTTGGGTTCTATTTGTTCTTCCTACAAATGCCCTTTCGTGGTAGCCTGTTCTTACTTATTCCCACAGCTGGTGGCTCACGAAACATAGGCAATGCCCTCCGTAGGGAGTCTTAAAACACAAATATACTGGTTTTTAACGGGCTGTTCTTCAGTATCAGCTGTGAAGTGGAAGCACAGGAGGAAGAAAAACAGTGATATTAATCTATCAGCCCAGGAAAGGCAAAAATAAGAAAAGTATTGATTTTTTTTAACATCATTAGGATCAGCAATGCATCACTTCCTTGTGAGAAATGACCCATCCTCCTCCTTTCCAATGCTGCTGCTTTTGTAATGAGTTTTTATTAGGTAACCTATTTTCTGTAAATTATAGCTCAGACTTCTCAACAGACATCAAACCATCTTCTCAGGAAGAATACTTGTTAAGTTA